CCACAAGCCCAGAATGCATAATGTCTCTGACATGAGGGTGACGTTCCTTCTTTGTTATTATGGCTCATCATAATTACTTGGAATAAAATAATAAATTTTAATTCAGTGATGCCTATGGCCGTTGGGCATCTTAACATAAAAGAACGAAAAATATAATTAACTAAATCAAGGCAATATGCCTATTTCCATCCCAACTCATTAGTATTAATTGATTGGGTTAATTCTCTTTTGTGTTTAACAGTACTCTCTATAAAACAACTTTTTTTTTTTTTTTGGAAAAAAAGGAGGGAGGGAGAAATGTAGGAAAGTAGAGATGGTAAGTAAATAAAATTTCTTGATATTTTGATAACTAAGGCAAAATAATAAATATAGTTGAAGCTCTTATCATGGTCACAAAATAATCTGCCATTTTTCAATAAAGTTCAGGAATCAGTATATGTAGCATCATAAATAATGGGAAAAACTTTGGTGCCTTTTCCCAATTGCCTCGAAGAAATTTATAATTCTCCTTTCTACTCTATAAGTTGTACTTGTAAGAAAAAAAAAATGTCAATTCTATTTTATAGGTGGAACTATAAGTACACCACAGAGAGTTCAAGACTCCTGAGGGCCATATGTAGAAGTGTTGGTTTTCCTGAAATAGAAGCCTGGTTCTTTATACATTAAGATGCTGGCTGCCATAAATGAAAAAATAACATAAAGGATGCAACATTTTTATAAAGCAGTTCTAAATGTAGTTCTTAGATGATCTAGTTTCACTTTTATTTAGCACTAATCTTTTCTGACTATGTACATACTTCATTTAGAATACATTCTCTGTAATGTGGAAATGACTGAAAGTATTTCCACTATAATACTTCGCTTTTCATTTGTTAAAATCTTTTGAAGAAATTGGTATTCGGCTTAAAATTTTCATGCTTTATCTCATCCTGTAGAGGGTATCAGAAAAATAAAGAAAATTCCACTCAGCTACTTCTCTGATATCATGAAGGGGTATGAGAAAGACAATAATATTATAGAGTGACTTGCTATTGATATTGATGAGGCTAATGATTTAATCTTATATTTGAATAGTGTTTTATTATCCTTCAAGTACTTTCACACATATTATAGACCAAAAGAAGACATTAGAGGTTTAGAGTTATGCTATATCAACCAGATATTTGAGAGTCAGCATCCTTCACCAGTTTCAAATGCCTTTTAGAAATAGGAAATTAACTTACCAGTGGATTTTGTATTCCTAATATGCATAACGATATGCTTTTATACGTGGGCATATGCATGTATATATGAATGTGAATATATGTATATTTGCATGTGTGCATGTATACATATGTGTGTACATATGGGCACATATGTATACATGTGTACCTAAATATATCGGTAAGAACAACCAAGTACAGTGAAAGTAAATTAGTTAGGAAAAGTGATATTTAAGGGAGCAAGATTATCTTCCTTAAATTTCATTCAGGACCTGAACCCTGCACCATTTTGTTTGTTCATTAATTCAATCATTAACGCATATTCTTTGAATCCTCTTTATGTATCAGGCACTGTCCTAGACACTAAAGAGACAGTAGTGAATAAATCGGTAATGTCCTTTGCCTTTTTGAGCTTGTTCTAGCAGAGGAAAGAGATTATAAACAAGAAAATTTATAATATGTAATGTGATGATAAGTGCAATAAAGAAAAGTAAAACAAAATAAAAGAATAGAAAATAATAAGAAGTAATTATAGTTTTAGAAAAGATGGCCAAGAAGACATCTCTGATAAGTTAATATTTTCTCAATGAGTGAATGAAATAAGTGAGCCAGCCACTTGACTATTTGGAATAAAAATATTTCAGGCATTGGACATTGTATGAAGAGGCCCTAAGGCAGGTGTGCTCCAGGTATATTTTTAGAAGAGCTAGAACAAAGTAAATGAGAAAGACAAGATCAATGAAGGGATCAGAGGTTTAATAATAGTGGAAATTTTGATTTTATTCTTGTGAGATGAGAAGACATTGAAGGATTTTGAGAAGAGAAGTAGCAAGATCTGACATATTTTTAAAGGACATGGAAAATAAACTATTGGGGGATTATTTTAGCATATAACATAAAAGTGAAATATCAATAACTTAAACACATGAACGCTTGTTTTTCTATCACAAAAAGTAACTTCATAGGTGGGCAGTCCCAGTTGCCATGCCACTATGGCAACTCCAAAGTCATCAGGGTCCTGGGCTTCTTTCGTTCTTCTGTTTCTCCATTCTTAATGAGTCATCTCATAGTCCAAGATGGCAGCTGAAAATGTAGCTATCACATTTACATTCCAGGAAACAAGGAAGAGGAAGAAGGAAAGACAAGTAGGACATGCCTGTTATTGGGTCCCAAATGTCCTGTACCACACTTCCTCCTTACATCTCATCAACCAGCTCTTAACCACAAGAGCTGTCTGTCTAACTACAAAAGAGACCAGGAAATATAACATTTGAGCTGGGTACGCTGCAGCCCCAAATAAAAATTAGGGTTCTGCTATAAAGGAAAACAAAGAATTAGAAACTTTGGAATCAATTAAGAGGCCATTTGAAATGGTCCTGCCCAAAAATTGTTGATTAGGACTAGATTGGTACCAACACAGGTGCTGATATATGAGATACATATTGAAGATCCTGTCAATAAGATTCACTGACGGATTGGTCATGGGATATGAAAAAAAAAGAAGGAAGTCTAGGATGTCTCCAAGGTCTTTGGCATGAGCTACTGGAAATGTGCAGCTCCGATAAGTAAGATGGGAAGTTCTTCAAACATACTCTCTTTGTAGATTGATACCTACATGATCAAAACTTATCTCAGACACAAATGATATGCTATTCTTCTCTCCATCATCCAACTCTAGCCTTATATCCTTGACACCTGATTACTCTGGACTACATTTTACTTTACTGCCTGCATCATAGATTTGAGAAATTTTATTCTTTTATATTTTCTCCTTAATTATTTTTTTCTTTAGTGATAATACACACTACTGGCATTAAGTATTATTCTTTACTTTTTCTTGTATCTCACACAGAGTTACTAGGCCACTTAACAAACATTCACAAGTCATCTGCTGAATCGAATTTGATATTTGTCCTGTCTCTGTTCTCATTTTTTTCTAGAAGCTATGATCCATATATCTATAATAAAAACCTCAGAGTTTCACTCTAGACAAACTTGCTCCCTGCCAACAACTCTTGTGCACCATTTGTACAGAAACAGGTGTCTACTACTTACAGCCACATTCCCACAAATGGTCTTACTTCTTAGAGACAGAGGAAATCCTTCATATAACAGGCCTTGCCTCTTCACAGGGTGAGGTTCTGTCCTTCCAAACCTGACATACTTATTCTAAATAATATGAAAATGAAATATTGCCTAAACCAAGAATATTAAGGAAAACTAGTATTGGAAGGTGATAGGTTGGAACAAGTATTTAGATTACTCAGATCTTGAAACCTCCAAGAATGAGCAGCCAAGTGCATAGTCCGCATACCCCTACCTTTCTCTTACCCTTTTCTGTGCCTCTGATGCCTCTTCTCCATCTTCAGTCTTTGATCTTAACACCATTCTTTGATTGAACATTTACCTGGGACTAATAGGACATTCAGAGACTCAGGCTGAGTCGAAATACTTTTAGTGGGAAAACTTCTCCCAAATGATATCAGTATAAGGCAAAACCCTTGAGCACTTGAAGATATTCCCATCCTCCAGCAGAATTTGACTCCTGTGGGGAGGGTCCTGGTTAAAAGCTTGCCAAGAGCATCTTTTCGCTGAGCTAAGGCTTTAAGCCTGTAATTTTCCTTTGTCATTGCTAGTCTTTAGGTAGTTGATCGCTATCAATAAGTCAGCACTCCCCACAGCCACTGGCTACACACACATACACACACACATAGACACACACACACACGTACACAAAAACATACACACCGCAAAGACAGGCCAAGAGCCCAAGTTGACAGGCCATCTTTCCTAAAGGGCACTAATTAACTGATTTGCCTGAAAACTTCTCCTTGCTACTAGAGAAAAGAAAAACAGCTTCCAGAGTATAGAATGGCAAAATGCCTGATCAGAAAAACTTCATTCCATCTGTAACGAACAAGTATCAAGATTGCATAAGTTTATCCCCTTCAGATTATTCACACACACACGCATACACACACACACACACACACACACACTTTTCTCATGTAGCCATACTCTTATTTTAACAAGAACAAATCCTCCCATAAGTGTTAAATATATTTATAGTAAAGAATAGTGTTTTAGTGCATAATTTTATAGATATCTATAACTAATCACATTTCCCAAGCAATTTTCATTCTCCACTTTGATGACCATTCCTTATTAGCAGCCATTGAAGTAGGCAATAATTTTTATTCTCATTTAACAGATAAGGAAACAATGGCACAAAGAGGTGAAATAACTGACTTAGTCACTTGATGATGTGGCGAAGGACTCGAGATTTGAATTCTTAGTCTCTTCCAACTTCCCAGACCCTAGAGCTATGTGGCCAGTTTTGCAATAAGGAAGCCTATTTATATGACTTTCCATGGGACCAGGAACTCAAAACCACAACAGGGTAAAAGCAGGAAAACACTGCTTTCTTGGCAGGGAATTTCAAAGGCAGCAGCATTAACCGATTTCAGAGCATTTTGCTATATTGTGGAGGCTGCCCTGAACGAGCATGACTACAAAGTACTCGAATAAAAAAGCATATTATTTGAGAACACTGGTAACTTTCTTGTATTTGAAAAATTAAAATAATCAAGCTCTGTGCTTATAAGAGTCAAAAAGAAGGGCTTTTATTTTGAACCCTCTGACTACTTCTCCCTTTCACAGTAAAATCTCCATTCGGTCCCAGAATAAATTGTCAACCAAGTGCTGGAACTTATCCAAAAAGTTCCTTTCTTTCCTTTCCCCTAAAACTAATAGAATTATATATATTAATGTTATCACCGATCTCTGAACTCCACTAACCTTTAACGTGAAGTAAGTTGAGGACGCTTGTATTGGTGTCAAGCAGTAGCAGTTGGCCAGTCTCCACTGTGACGTTGTCGCCATCTTGTGGCGCTCTTTCAGGAAACCAGCTGTGAGCCCTCGACCACCTCTGGCAGAACTGAAAGGAAAAGTTGCCCTGGAAAACAGAGTTCTGTTATTTTCGTATTGTTTTAAAGCAGGATAGTGTGGGTGATCGATCATAATAGAAACTTCTTAAACTAAAACTAATTTAAATATAATTTTAAATGTCAATAAAATTAGTCACCCTGTCTTCCTCATACAATTAACTCGAAAAGGAAAAACTATGAAAGAAGGAAAGTTATACTTGAAATGTCTCTGGAATTCTCCAACAAGATGCTTGTAATATGCTACTTTTTTTCCCAGCCCAGGCCCCCTTCTGCCTAACAGATGGAGTAGATTCCATTTTTTATTTTTACAGATATGTATTGAGTCTTGGACAAAAAGTCATAAATAGCCTGAAATGGGGAGAATTAAAATGGCCTGCTTGATAGGTGGCATTTTGCTTTGTATAATTGGTATCATTTTTCACTGACTCTATTGCCAAGTGTCTCCGTTTTATAGGAACATTCCTCTTTCTAATGCTCAGATCCATCCTCCCACTCTACCTGTTTTGATACTACTGTCTTGTTGCCTTTCCCTCTATGCCTGGTGCATCAGTGCTGAAAAAGCCCATGCGTAGGCGAAATGCCAACTGACTTCAGATGACAGCCCAGAACCTTTGAGTGAGGGACAGGGAGCGAGACTGAGAGGAGCCAGAGGTGGAAGTGCCCTCTCCCCGCCTGGACTTCAGTCACCCTCTCAGAACACTTTCCTCCTTATGGTCACACTGAGGTCATGTGTTTTTTAAAACAGGAATGTAGAAAGCATGGAAAGCAGTATTTGGCTCATGCAAGAGGCCAAGAACATGACTATATGTGTAGCTGTGAAACTATGATGATGATAAATATAATGAAATCAGGATAGAGAAGGTGATTCCCTCAAGGTAATACACACATAGTGTGTATGCCTCTCTCCACACAGTTCTTCTTCCCTCACAGATCCCAACCAAATGTGGAGCCCGAGTTCCTATGAAATAATTGCCTAGAAGATTCTCTGATGAGGTGTCAGAGACAGATGGGAGACGATCATTAAGAAGGGAAGGTATGCTTTTAATACCAATAACTATACCTACACGGCAAATGGTGCCTTGGAGTATTTCTGGGAGAGAAAGATGGAAAAATGTATTGCCAGAAGAGCCAGTAGATTTTCCAAGAATGTGTACTGATGCCCAGCTCAACAGTCCTGAGTTGTTTACTCAACCCAACCACCAATAAGTATTTGGGGTAAAGAAAAGCGGGTTCTTTTCATTTTGTACAAAGGAGAGAAAAAGTCACTGACTCATCCCAGTTTAAGAGACATAAAAGCATAAGGCACAGCGACAAGGAGTCACAGAACCACAGAAAGAAAAATGTGTGGTGCATGAGCATCGTTGCAAGTTAGATGAGCCGCATCCCCACCATGCCATCCACAGACCCAAAAAGTAGGAGAGAACTTTTGCTTTCTACTGATTTCATACTAACACTAGGTATTGGAAGGTAAAATTATAAAAAGTGCTCCTTTAAGGCTATATATTATACATTTTTATAATCCTTTAATTCACTCTCTTAGAATCCATAAAGAGGAAAAGGGGGCAAAATGGAGGACATTGGAGTGGAATAAAGTGGTGAGAAAGTACAAAAGACTGAATCGGATGAAGATGGTAGTCAACTGCAGAGAAGGGTAAACCAGATTATCTGTAAATGTCAGCCCTGAGTCAAGCATAAAAGGGCATTTGAAAAAGCTTGGATTTCTATACAGTTAGAAGTGGAAGGACCCTAGAGAAATTCTATCCCTCGATTTTATAGATGATGTTGACAGCATTTCTCAGCCTAGAGCTAAGGTGCAGTTTCCCTCAGTGCCACCATGGTGGAATCGGAAGCTCATGACTTGGGCCCAGGAATTCGTCAATTTGGTGATATTCTCAGATAACACTTCTGCTTCAAAGTTTGAGGTCCAAATCAAGGAAAGCGTTGCAGGGCATAGAGATGTATCCAAAAATGGAAACAGGAAGTTTTCTTCAAACCAACTCTTGACTCTCAGGGTCTTAAGGAAGACTAGCAAGCTGGGTGAGGTGGTGTGTAAATGAGCTGTAAGAAGTTTGAAGAATTCAGCAGCATAACTCCTTCTGAAACATTAACCTGGTGATCAGATCCATAGCCCAACTATAGGACTACAAAGAAAACCAGGGCTATGACTCTCACGATGGAAACATATGGAACAACTAGATATTAATTAGGTATTGGGGGGTCAAAGGAAGACTATTCCATAATGTCTTCCATTAATTAATTTGAGAACATTTTATTACTTACAATTAGTACTGGTACCTGTCACTAGCTCTAAGTAAATTTTAAAAACTTTCTCTATTACTCTAAAGCATGTGTCTGTGTCATTTGCTGCTTTCCATGTGTTATATCATCTTAGCCTGGCCTGTCTACCTTTAAACATTTGCTATGCTCAGGCCCAACCCAGCAGATGGTAAGGTCAAATATTGTTATCTTCTCTTTACAATTGAGGAAGCAAAGGCTCAAAGGGTTTTAATAAGGTGTCAAAGGCCACAGGGGTGAAGACAGACTGGACTCATGCAGAACAAGCTCCCACCTTAGGTCTGTTCACTCATGGTGGCCTCTTTCGGAATACTCTTCTACAAAATATCTGCATGGCTCAGGTCTCTGCTTAAATAACATCTCCTTCCCTGCCTTTATATTAACATAATGCTTCCAGTTACTCCTTCTCCCCTAATACCACTTCATTCAGGTATTAGATCATACAATTCCTTACATATTTGTCATCTATTGAGCTTTCTCAAATAAAAAGCAGGAACTTTGTTTTAACCCCCTAGAAAGTGTTTGACACATAGTAAGTGCACGATAAAATTTGATGAAATAATGAATCATTTATCTGCTAATCCCATGCATATATTTATAGACATTACATACAGGTGCTCGGGCATAAGCACCTTCCTGTTACAATGGGTAGACAAATAGGTAGTAAGGCCTAAAATACTTAAAAATGCTACATCTCCTAGGTCTCCTGATCTTTTGGGTTTGGCCCATATCCTTTCACATTCCTTTCTGGGTTTCAAACTCTACTTAAGCTTAAACCAAATGATGATGAGTGTATCTAAATTAAAACCCAAGACTCAAATTTAGTTTCCCTAAGAAATCTTCCACTGGTTTTTGTTTTCACCTTAAGTTTCTCTATTCAATGTGATAGATTCCAAATTAATATAAATGTTAAGCATTAAGTTTAAAGAGACCTAAATTTTCCTGTGCCCAAATTTCTCCTTAGCATAATAAAAGTATCCTGAAATGTATTAAATTTTTATTGATGTTTCATGCTTTAGTACATGAATGACTAAATACTAAAAGTCCTAAAAAATTCATGCATTCTCAACTATGTAATGGCTACCTGGGAAAGTAGAGGAGCAATGTATCTCCATGATTGTAAGCTGTCAGTGAATCAATCCATGATTACATGAATGAGCCATAAGAATTTTAGCTCTTCTACATTTTCAGAATTGACATGCTGATAGTATCATTGTCTACACAGGACTGCCAGGGCAATGCCCCATGGAACAGTGGGGATGGTTCATTTTCCATCATTCTTATCCTCCAATCCCTATCACTTGGATTCAGTCAAGCAAAAGAGAATGCTGACAACATTGACAAAAGACTTTTTGTCAATATATTTGAAAGCCTCTCAGTTGATACCAACATGATGCTTTTCATTGAAAGCCGTGCTCCGTGTCGCCAAACCAGCTTATAGGTCAATGTAAGTTTCATGTCCACTAAATATAAGCTCTTTCCACTCTAGTTCCCAAGGCGCTCAACCTTTAGCTTTAGTTTTCCTTTTTTTTTTTGAAATAAACAAATCACTCACTCCCATTCTGCAGAGGAAGAAAAGTATTTCTCCATTGTCATATGAAAGTAGATGTGGAAATAAAGATTTAGGAATTATCCAGAACATGCTCTCACTTTTACTTCAGTACATGCAGCACCAAATAAACCTAAAAAAAGAAAAATAGAAAAAAAAAAAAAAAGGAAGAAAAAATACAAGCAAAAACTTTCCTGTCTCAGCTAGCAAGCTTATGCAATTTGTTTTCTTCTTACAGCACATCAGCACTTCTCTGAACTTCAGCGAGTATGCAGTGTCTGCAAATCTCACATGTCACCTTAAATGTACTTGTAACACCACCAGAGTTATCTTGAAAGAAGTCATTGATCAGCAAGTTGGAACACCAAGCAAAGACATATTTGTGAGAATATATGTAAGCTGGGGTGGTGGAGGATGTAGAGTACAGGAATCTCTCTAGTCACAGCGTCTCCTGGATGACAAAGACAAGAAAGAACTGTTTTGACACCTCACCAGAATGCATTCTTCTTCAGCATGAAAGCCTTGGAAATAGGAAAAGACAGGTTCCCTATAACTGACATTCTCTCCATCTCTTACCCTGCTTTATTTTCTCCAAAGCACTGAAACATGGTATATTTGTTTATAGTCAGTCAGTTAACCCTCAACAGAATGTAAGTTTCATGAGAGCTTCTTGGTTTTCAGCTGTATCCTCAGTACCTATAACAATGGCTGATATGTAGTAGGTACCCCCAAAATAGGTTTGAATGAATGAATTGTCAACTCTGACTTGGGCTTATAATCACTATGCCATAGTTTAAAATATTTTAATAACTAAAATAATTTAATATGAAGCTGAAAATTGTTTTCCTTTTTTTTAGTGCTCCTTAATAATGTTTTTAACTGTTATGAAACCAAACATATTTATCTTTTCTTTTATGACATCCTCTATAATTTTATGCATTGGAAACTCTTCTTTCATTCTTATATAAACATCACGTCTATATTCTTCTTGATTTGTAGTGTTTCTTTTTGTATGTTTATCTTCACCTAATTAAGAATTTATGTTAGTGGGAAGTTTTCCATTTTTCATTGTTTTTATCTTTTTTTTTTTCTACCAAATAGTAAACTGTCTTCACCCCATTTATTAAATAACATTTGCTCTCCCAACTAAGAGTCTTGGCTGTT